CATCACAGAGCCTGCCTGGACCCTGGGGGTCCCCCTCCAGGCTCACGAGCTCCAATGCCCCCGCTATGCTCTGAAAGCTTCTCCGGCCCGGTCAGGCCAGCAGCAGCTCATCTCTCTGCTTGGTGGGAACGGGGGGGGGGGGGGGGGGGGAGTAGGGGAGCGGCCTCACCCCTGTGCCTTGGCAGAGGACGCATCACAGCAGCTGGAAGGGCAGCTGGACACAGGCCCCAGGGTGGCCCAAATGGGCTCTGAGAATGGGATGCAGGTGGAGGACTCTAAATGTGCACCCCCATATCAGTCTGGCTTCTGGAGGAAGCCCCAGGAGTGAGTGCATATTCAAAGCATGGTCCACCCACAGCTAAGCAGGGAGGGGCTGGCCGTCCCCAAGCCAAGGGACAAGGACAGGAGAGTGTGTGTGTGTGTGCGTGTGTGTGTGTGTGGTGTGGGGGGTCTGAGACCCAGGGAGGGGTGCTGCACCCTGAAGTGTGCACCTGCCCCTTGGCAGCCCTGCCAGCCGCAGACATGGGCAGGGGGGTCGCATTCAGTGCCTCCAGTCCCACTGTAGATGGGGTGTGGCCAAGCTGGAGGGGTCCTAAGGAGGGTCCCAGCCCCAAAAACACCCAGGGCAACACAGGGGTTTTCCCTGGGGGAAGGAGCTCGTGTCTAGCAGATGGTCTGTGTCCCTGTCTTGGAAACTCCACTGCAAGCTCTTGGCAAGATCTCAGACTCACTTTACCTAACCTGTAAAACGGAGGTAGACGCTTTTGGAGGGCAGGTGGTAGACCACAGCTGGCTGTGTTCTGGCCCCAACAGTCCTCAGAGGACCGTGCCGTAACAGAAATTGAGCCCCCACCTCCTGTAAAGCATGCCCTGACCACTGCGCTGCCAGTCCTGAAGCAGGCAAAGCATGGGGCCTGGCCCAAGACCCAGAGAAGCACCAGGCCAGGCCCCTCCCAGAGCTAGAGCTGGAGGAGTGGTCAGGCTGCCCGTGGAGGGGGGTCACTGTTCTCTTGACACCTTTGTGTGCTGGAAGAAGGGGCCAACTAATCCAGCCCAGCTTTAGAAACCACACAACTAACCACCCCCACCCAACCCCAAAAGCTGGGCCCGCCTCTCATTCCTGGACTGTTGCTGCCCCCTGGTGGCCATATTCTTCCACAGCAGCCTGAGATGAGATACCTGTCACTCTAAGATCCCGGAGCCCCAGGGTCCAAAGCTGCCCCTGAAATCTCACCCGTCAGGCGTCCAATTCGCAGATGGGGGAAGCTGGGTCACCCACACAGCATCCAAGCATGGGGATGAATAAGAGGAAAGTTGGAGTCCCCCAGGCCTGGGCAGCAGTGACCACGGCGTGCCTAGAATTTTACCTTGGAGCCAGGGAAGGTTCTGGAGCAGGAGTCTGAGGGGGTCTGGTCAGTTTCACCCGGTGTACTGCTAAGTGGGCTCAGAAGCGGGGGCTCTGAGCAGCCAGTGAGAAAGGCTCAAAGACCTGTGTGCGCCTGAGAGGCCTGGGGAATGCCAGGCAGCTCAGGACCTGGGCATCCTGGTTTCCCTGCTGTGAAACAGCATCCGAAAGGGTCACTGGGAAGTTCGCACCGAGGGCCCAGCACCTCCAATCAGATTCAAACAGCGGGGCGGCAGGGGCTGGACTTAGTCCCACTGAGCCTGAAACCACTCACGGAGCTCTCCATACCCATGAACAGAACTGGGGGGAGCCTCCCAGCCGCCGTCCCGCGGCACATCTCAGACTGCATGAAGCTCAGTGGCCAGAACCATAGCACAGCTGGGAGGGCACTTGCCTTGCCCGCGACCTACCCAGGTTCGATCCCCAGCATCCTATATGGTCCCCCAGCACCACTAGAAGTGATTCCTGAGTGCAGAGCCAGAAGTGACCCCTGAGCATCGCTGGGTGTGACTCGAAAACCAAAAAGTAAAAAGGAAGCTCCCAACAGCTCCCCACTCCTGCCACTTAATTGCACTCGTTATTGCATTGGGTACAGATGGGGCGTTTGGACTTCCCCTCCCCTGCCCCCATTTTCACAAAGCGCTGGTGCAGGAGAAAGGGGTGTAATTAAAGGAGGAGATGCAGAACAATCCCCAGAGCACTGGGCCCTCTCCTTCCCTTGTAAATCCATTAATGAACTCTATTTGCAAAAGACAAACCCCTTATTGAAACCCAGTAACCGATTCTCTGGGGGCGCAGAGACTCCCATTGTGTCCGGGCCTGGGGAAGGGAAGAAAGAGAAATCCTAATTACTTTAGCCCTGTTTATCTACACAACCATCAGGAAAACAAAACTATCCGTTACAGCGCCACTTGCCGCCCGTCTGCAGCGGTGCTGGTGTCTGTCTGGAGGGGCTGGTAGGGGATTGGCTGTTTTCCCTCTTTCTGGGAGGCGTTTACAACCTCCTGTTAATCAGAGGAGAGCCAGGAGGCGTCTGCAGGAGCAGCTGCAGGTGTGGGGGACAGGATGAGCCTGGGTTTGAAGACCCCCCAGATGCCGACTCCCCGCTTCCTGGAACCTGGCGACATGGGCCTCTGAGAGCCCCTCAGCCCTGAACGGAGCATGAGGTCCACAGCATCTCCACACAGGCTGGTTCTGGAAACCCCAGCCCCCTGCACCCCCGCGTCTGCTGCAGGAGCCATGGCTCAGTCATATGGGGTACCAACCCTACCCAGCAGGACCCTATAGCATCCTGGCCACGGCATTGACCAGGGTGGGCAAGGGACCCCGTCCGAGCCTGAATTCTGTGGCTGTCGGGGCATGAGCAGAGGCTGGGCTGCGTCCCCAGGAGAGGCCACTGGGGTGGAGGCCCTCGGGGTGGAGCCCCTAGTCCAGGTGGGCAGAGCAGGGTCAGGTACTACAGTACAGTAGGCAGGGCACTTGGCCTTGCGTACAGCTGGCCTGGGTTCATTCCTGTCTATTGTCTCAAGCCCTCCAGAAGTAACCACTGAGATCAAAACCAGGAGTCAGCCCCGAGCACCACCAGCTGTGACCCCAAAACAACATCAAATAAACAGGAGTAGGCAGAGTGGCCCCGATCCATGAGCCAGAACCTGCCCCACCACCTCCGCCCGGAATCTTGTGCTACTTCTGTGCTTTGCAGATTGGGTGGCCCTTGGGTCACCCACAGCCAGGAGCCCTAACTAGACTTTGTGAGCCCAGCCTAGAACTGGCTCCTGGTGGCTCCCGGTGGCTGATTTGAAGCTTCTCCCCCTACCCTCCTGCCACGGAATTCCAAGAATGATGTGAACAGGAAGGACCTCAGCTCCAGCCTCACTCCAAACAGTTCATCGCTGAGCACATGTGCGCCCTGCACATAGACACACACGCACACACCAGTGTAGGCACACACACACACACACACACACACGCACTGGGGTTTGCTTTTCTGAGAAATCTCTGCAGCAGAGAAAAGGGAGCAGCCCTGTGGATGGGTCACCCCCTGCTGCAGTAAGCCTAGCTGATAGCCAGGAACAAAACCAAACCGCCTGGCTGAGCATGGTCAGCCCAGGACTAGGACGCCTCCAGCTGTCCAGTAAAGGTCACTTTCCACTTCCCTGAAGGCAGTGAGTTCCTCTCTCCGCCTCTGGGCATCCCTGGAAGAAAATAAAGCCCAGCCCCCTGGCCAGGAAAGCTGGGTGCAGCCACCCCAACCAAATTCCCACGAGAGGCGCCGTGCATGGTCTGCCTCGGGCCACGTGCCCATTTATGTCCAGTCAGCTGCATCCAGGAGACAGGGTCACCCTGTGTCATCCTGGGGGGCCGGGTGGAGGTGGGGATCATCTCAGAAAAAAGGAAGCCTTGACCAGCAAGGCCAGAGGAAGGGTTGATGAGAACAATCTAGGCCCAGACCAGAAAGAGCTTGTAAAAGAGTGTGTGTGGGGGGTGGGGGGGTGGGGGGGGGGGAGGGGCGCCGGGAAGGACTTGTCTCCTGTCCCCTGGGGTCTGCTCCAGGCTGGACTGGGCTCCAGGGCACTGCTGGGCGCCAACTGCCACTAAGGAAGGATTCTCAGGGCGGTCTGAGTTTTCTGCAGGCCTTCCCATGTGGATCTGGTCACCTAACCATCCATTAAACCAGCCGGGTTCAGAATAGCACCCCGGGTTTGGTAAGTGGGGTAGAAGAAGTCAACCGTTCAGCTGATGGCTGGGCCCCAGGATTCTGGGGGAGCCACCTGAAAAGCAGAGGCTGATTTTCAAAACCACACCTGGAACTAAATTGCTTGAATTCTACAAAAGAAGTAAAAGGAGCAGCGGGAGGAGGGCGGCGGAGGGGCTTAGAGGCAGAGCTCCCAGCTGGGTCCTCAGCACCCCTCCCCAGCAGCACTGGCCCACCACGGGGGTCCTGGGCACTAGACCCAAAGTGTGTAGAGCGGGGATAGGTGCGGCCGCCCTCCCCGGGCCCGGGTCTCCTGGTGGGCTGAGAGGCGCGCTGGCCCTCGAGATCCCACGTTCCCGTCTGCCACGGGCCTCTGCTGGGGCTGCTGGGGGGAGAATCAGGGCAGAGAGGCAGCTGGCTCTGCCTCGGCACCCCCACCGCCACCCCCACCCACACAGAACCCTTCTCGGCTCCCCAAAGATGCAGACGAACACAGACCCATTCAGTGCTTCTGTTAAATCACGTTTAATTGTTCTCCCAAAGAGAGGAGGGAGATCAGGAAAGAGATTCACAGCACTTACAGGTTAACTAAGAAAAAACAACAGGAATATATTAGGCTTTAATTGGAAAAAAAATAAAATGCAAACCCTACCCTTCTCACGCGCGCCCATAGCTATGTTCTCACTCCCATACACGCATCCCTGTGCCCAGACACACACACACACACACACACACACACCACACACCTGGGCAGGGACAAGAGGTGCTGAGGAGCAGAGGGGAGGAGGTGCGTCCCCGAGGCCCTCCTCTCCCAGCCCCCCCCCCCAGCATGGCCAAGCCACCCTACTTGGGGGGGGGGGGGGGGGGCATGTGTGCAGGATCCTCGGCCATGCTGGGAGTGGGAGGTGGGGTTGGGGTGGTGGACACAGGTGGGAGCTAGCGGCCTCAGATGATTCTGTTCTCCAGGAGGGCCAGCCGCTTACTCACGGCTTCCAGTGGGCGCGCAGTTAAGGAGCACGCGTTGCTAGGAGCCCGGCATGGCACCACCCTGGGCCCCACTTCCTGCTTCCTCCAGTCCCCTCTTCCAGGCCTTCCTCTCACCCCAGACTGCTGCCTCAGAGTGGGGCCCCCAGGGGCTGGAGCGATAGCACAGCGGGTAGGGCATTTGCCTTGCACGCTGCCAACCCGGGTTCGATTCCCAGCATCCCATATGGTCCCCAGAGCACCGCCAGGAGTAATTCCTGAGTGCATGAGCCAGGAGTAACCCCTGTGCATCACCGGGTGTGACCCAAAAAGCAAGAAAAAAAAAAGAATGGGGCCCCAGACAACCCCAGGCAGCCGGGCACAGGGCTCCACCGAGGGGGCTGGTTCTGGTGCGGGTCCCATCCCCGAGAGCTGAGGGTGAGGGGCCCGTTGGGCACTGTGTTTTCCTATATGTGTCTAGTATCCGGGGGGGGAGTTGTTCAGTCACAGCTTCTGCCTCAGTTTCCCTGCTTTCTTCCAGGAGCCTCTGCTTGAAACAGAGCTCGTGCCCAAGCTGACCCCAAACCACCTCTCTTCAGCAGAAGCCCACTACTCAAGGGGCACAGTCCCCTCTCTCCTGCCCCTCGGGGGCCTCCCCTCTCCTCCCCACTGCCCTGCCGCAGTGGCCTCTGGAAAAGGATATGTTTCCTGGTCAGCGCCTGCAGCAGATCCTCCACTTTGACCTGAAACTTCACAATGGATTCACAGGCACACGGGTCCTCCTCTGGAGGACAAGAAGCAGGGAGAGGAAAGGGGACAAATCAGTGAACAGCCAGCCAGCGAGGAGGAAGGAAGGACCACGGAGACCCAGGGAGAGTGGGGCCAAGCAGCAGAGCCCCCAGGAGGGCAGGCGAGTCCCCCTGAATGTTGTCCTGACCTTAGAGCTCCCCTCACAGCCTCTTGGACAAATGCCCAATACACAGGGTAACGGTCATCTCAGTGACCCCTCAGCCCCAGCCTAGTCTTTGGGGTTGAAGTAATTAAGCTCATTGAACAAGTAACAACCCAGAGAAGTAAAACCCTTGGTCTGCGGTTGACAGCATCTGACCAAGGAGACAAACCCCGGCCATATCTGGCTCTGGGTCCATATTCCTTACAGGGGGGCCACAGGCCAGAGAGCCGGGACATGGTCCGGGAGGTGGTGGGGCTCAAACCATGCTTCCTCTCCGTTCCCCTGTCTGTAATGTGGGGATGAGGCTTGGACCACACAGGGTTAACAGTTTAGCACCCGGACAGCAGTGAGCGCATGGCCTCATTGCCACGTGTCAGCTGGTAGGAAGTCACGCCAACCAGCCCACCTCCGGGTTCTGCCACCTCTTGATGCCACTCCCGCTCCAGTTTTATGCCACCGAAACCCTGTTCCAGGATGGCGCCACCCCCACCTCCCGCCGACGCCAGATCCAGTCCCACTCACCCACACAGATCTTCCTCTGCAACTTCTTGCCAATCTGGTTGATGGTCCTAAAATCCGCCGTGTAGAAGTAGTGCTCGGCCACGGGCTCTGAAGCAATCTCCCTCAGCTCGTCCTCCACAGCATTGCCCACGCCCACTGCAAACATCTTAAAGCCTGTCAAAGGAATAAAACAAAGTAGGAGTGGGCCTGGAAAGCACCAGCCACGGCGGAGCCTCCTGGGAGAATCAGGCTACCCTGATGCCTCCTGGTGGCAGCTGCTGGAATTGCAGGCACAGCACTGAGGACAAAGACATTAAGGAACTCGAGTTACTCTCTGACTTTCTTTCCCTGGAACTCGCGCCTATCATTTAACCATCCATCTTGTGGTCAGTACTATTCTTATTTAATAGGTGATAAAACAAACACAGGCTTTCCCAAACCAGGATTGCCTTCCAACAGTTAGTATGCTTTGGGGAACATTCATCTGAAAAAGTTTCAAGCTCCACCTACAAGGGAACCATCAAGACAAATCACGCACTGTGGTGGGGGCTCAGTCTTGTCATGGGTTTAAGAGAGAGCTGGATAAACCAACTGGACAAACCGGGTTAATGGATCTCATGGGAACAGACAGGAAGTTGGGCTGTGCCACACGTCATGTCAGCAGGGGTACTGAGGATCCTGGCAGTGGGTACCCACCCAGCTCCTTGGCCTTCTTCGCAGCATCATTAATGTAGTCCTGGCTCCGGCCATCAGTGAAAACAATGCCGACCTTCTGGGCCCCGGGCCTGGCCCCACTGGACACGGTGAAGGAATTGTCAATAAGGTATTTGAGGGCAGCCCCCGTCATGGTACCCTTCTCCATGTAGGACATGCTGCGCACTGCAGCCTTAATGTCCTTCTTGGTGTGAAAGCGGCCCAGGGGGAACTCCTGGCGCACGGAGCTGGAGTACTGCACCAGCCCCACCTGGGCCAGCTTGTCCGACACGTCCAGTGTGTCCACGATCTGGTTGATGAACTTCTTGACCAGCTCAAAGTTCTCCGGCCGCACACTCTTGGATCCATCGATGAGGAAGACCAGGTCAGTGGCCGAGCTCCCGCCGCCACCGCTACAGACTGAGGAGGGAGAAAAGACCGACAGAAGCTGGAGGTCAGAAAAGCCCTGCTGCCCACTGGCCTGAGGTCCATGACACCCCAAACTCTGTGCTGGGGAGCAGCCCATTTTGCCCTCAAAACCCTCTCTACGAAGCCTAGGTTACAGGGTGTGTTCCCCAAGCTGTGGAGTCACACAGTGCGGATATGGAGGCACCGAGATTTGAAGGCAAAACCATGTGGATCCCTGCGCCCCACTGAAGAGGGACACAGTGGGACTGGAGAGAGTGAACAGAAGTCATGGTGCTTGCCTTGCCCAAGGCTGAGCCCCTGCACCACACATGGTCCTGAGAGCACTGCCAGGAGTGAGTGAACCCTAAGCACAGAGCCTGAGCACAGTTGGGTGTGGCCCCCCAAACCCAAATACAAATAAATAAATTAGTCGAGAGAGATAGGAAAAGGAACCCATGTCACAAGAGCACTTTCTGCAGACACCAGCTTCTGGAAAGGCATCTTTGCAGATTGATCCAGAGGCAGAGAGCACAAAGGGCTGGGTGAGCTTGTGGGGAGTCATCAAAGCCTCTCCCCGATCTCCCTGGGCTTGCCTGTGTCCAGCTCACTGACCATTGCAGGTCTTGCCATCACTGTTCAAGGTGAAGCCCTCGCGGCATGCGCAGGTGTAGGAGCCAGGGGAGCTGAGGCACAGCTGCTCGCAGTCATGATCCCCGGTCACACACAGGTCTGACACCACTGTGGAGACACCAGGCAACCCGTCTCACAATCGCAGGCCAGACTCACTCCCACGGAAACTGAGGCCCCCAGTGCATGGGCCTCAGATCCCAGGACCAAGCCTGAATCACGGCACCAAGGCTGAGATCCCTAATGAAGTTGACAAAAACTGCTGCCAAACTTCCTGCCTAAAAGGTAAAAAGGTCACAGGGCCAGGGTCATTCATCCAGTCTGTTCTCTAGAACTGCAAAGAAGACACGTGGACTCTTTATTAAACACCTGGTGCTGAGACTGATGCCACACACTGTCTCCATGACTCCACTGACACAGCACAGGACACCTTTACGACTCCTTTAAGGCCCTCTTTGTTTGTTTGTTTTGTTGGTTTGGTTTTGAGTCACACCCAGCTGTGCTCAGGGCTGACGCCTGACTCTTCACTCAAATCACTCCTGGTGGTGCTTGAGGACCACAGGGACCATATAGGGTGTGGGAACCAATCCCGAGTCAACCATGAGCAAGGCAAGGCCGTGACCCACTGTACCATCTCCCTAGCCCCATAAAGAGCCTTTTACAGAGGGTGGGAAGTCTCCATTTCACAAAGCCCACCTCCCTCTGCAAAGGATCTTCTGCAGCCCAGTACCCTGGCCTTCAGACCCTCTAGCATCACAGAGGATTTGGCACCTTGGCATATACTCTCATGGCTATTTAGAACCTCTCTTCACTGGGCACCCGCCCCCGCTGGTCCCAGTCAGGGTCCTGCCACATTAAAGGAATTTAGACATCTTCTCTCTTTTTTTTTCTTTTTGGGTCACACCCGACGATGCTCAGGGGTTACTCCTGGCTCATGCACTCAGGAATTACTCCTGGTGGTGCTCGGGGGACCATATGGGATGCTGGGAATCAAACCCCGGCTGGCGGCATGCAAAGAAAATGCACTACCCGCTGTGATATTGCTCCAGCCACTAGGCATCTCTTATCAGCTCATTTCACCCCGTGCCCAGGATCAGGACCTGTCCCTGCGCTGGCACACCCTGGCGCTAGTCCTGCCTCAATCTGACTGACCCAGGGCTGGTTCCTTACCCGACCAGGCTCTGCCTAAACTCTGATTCTGACTGGGTTTAATCAGCACCACCCAGACAATGACCCCGCCAACCCGACCCCTGCCCAGGTCTAGCCCTGTGCAGTCCCTCTGGTCCCAACCTCCCTACCACAGGCTCTCAGGAACCCGAGTAAACCAAGGCCCCCACCTGACCCCAACCCATCACTGCCTCCTTGGTCTCTTCCTGGCCCGGCCTCGCCGTTGCCTCCAGGCTCCGCCCATTCAGACCCCGCCCCATAAGGTCTTTGAGCCTCTCCCCTGTTCAGCCCTTCACAGCCTCAGCCCCGCCTCTCAAGGCCCCGCCCCACACTGCCTCTAGGCCCCGCCCCCTAGGGCCCTCTAGGCCCCGCCCCACGCTGTCTATCGGCCACGCCCCCTCCGGGCCCCGCCCGCGCTGCCTCTCAGCCACGCCCCTCTAGGCCCCGCCCACACGAACTTAGCCCTTCCCAGTCCATCCCCACGACCAGCGCACCGCAGAAGGCCTCCTGGAACTTCTTGGATAGTTTCTCGATGACGTTGTAGCTCTCCACGTAATCTACGTGCTCGTCCTGTGGCTCGCTGGCGATCTGTCGCAGCGTGGCCTTGTCCACGCGACCCACGCCGATAGCGAACAGCTCGATGCCACTGGCCTGAGCCCGGGCAGCCACGTCCCGCACACTGTCCTGGGGCCTCCCGTCCGTCACCACGATGACCACCTGCGACAAGCGGGGGCGCCAGTGATGAGCGGGCCCCCTTCCCCGCGCTGGCCCCGTGAGCCTCCGGGACGGTGCCTGGGTCCAGGCCACACCCCCAGGCGCTAGCCGAGCTCATCTCCCCAGCCTGGGTTCTGTCCCGGGCAGGAGAGTCCTGCCGGCGAAGTTTCTCTCGGATTGAAAGAGACAAGACCTCCGACTAGCGTCTCGGAGGTCTCTTCCCTCGGATCAGCACCCCCAGGCAGGGCCACGTCTCCGCGGATCACGAGGGCGCGCAGACGCCCCCCAGGAACGCTTCGCCCGGCCTAACCACCCCACGCCCTGCAGTTCTGCCGTTGGCCGGCAGAGGGAGGCAGAGGCTGGATTATAGCTTGGGAGTTGGCAAGGGACGTCATGAAGATGCTCAACAAACCAAAGAAGATGCTGCCTTGAATCTCTGCATTCCCAGGATGCTTCGGGCCAGGGGTCCCCGGGAAGAAGGTGCCACCGGACCTCCCACCCCCCGCAAGGCTTTCTTGCTCTGTATCCTGGAGAGACAGACAGGAGAGCCTGGGCTGAGCCAGTCTCCCTGTGCACTCAGCAATGCCTGAGTCTGGGGCTCAGTATCCAGGCCCACCCTTGGCACTGGTGCCAACTTCCCACCTGTTTGGTGGGAAGATACGCAGCTCCAGGAGTTTGGAGGTTTGCGGAGATTCCAGCGCACAGCTCCTGAGCAAGTCAGGCAACCGCTGTCTCCGTGCTACATGAGGGACCTGCCACGCTCCTCCCCGCCAAGAGACCTGGTCCCTGCACTCAGGACCCGCCATGGCCTTCCCCTGACACTTTCACCAATCAGTTCTGGAGAAGTGACTGCTGCAGAGGGCACCTTTACCCTGTCTCCAGGAGGGTCTACCAGGGGCGGCTGCAGAGCAGCACAAGCGAGCACCCCTCCCCGTTCCCCTGGTTACAGGACCAGCAGGCTGTCTGAGGTGATGCCTCATGGCTGTGGTGGCTGTATCCTCTGCGATGATCTGTGGAAACACACCTGCCACATGTCACCTGGGCGAGTCCCTTAAGTCTCCGGTGCCTCACCCCTTCCCCTGCATGAAATGGGGTTACCACCTCTGAGCCTTCGTCAGCTCTTCTGAGTCAGTAGGTACTACTTGTGAGAGTGGGGTGTGTGGGGGGCAGGTGCAGGAGGACAGCAGGCTCCTAACAGCCCCGAGGTTGAGTCCTGCACAGGTCAGTGGAAACCACCTGATCCCCTCAGTCCTGCCACAGGGCTGCCGGCTGACCCTGGGAATAGCACTTGGCTTCTCCACCCTCCCCACAGAGGTTGATAAACAGACGTTCACTCACTCCTCCATCTTGTGCCCTGGGGCTTGGTGCCCACTGAGTTCACCTGACCGCCCTGTGAGAAGGCACTGTGAGATTCCCCCCATTCCTTGGGGAGGAAACCGAGGCACGGTGAGAATTAGCAGTTTGCTCAGAGGACACAGCCGAGGTGCTGGAGTGGCAGGAAGCGAGCTCCATGTTCTCCGCCTGCCCAGGGCCACCAGGTTGACCTCCTGCCTCTAGAAAGCTTGGTCTGAGCTCAGCCAAGTCTCCCCTGGGGCCCCGGTGGGCAAAGGTGGGTTTGGAGCACCACATCCTCCTGGTGTAGGTCTGCCCCAGCTCACAGATGCCCACCTCTCGCCCGGGTATTTGGAGAACTAATGCTGTCAGCGGCGACCCCCCACCCACCCATGGGGGAGTCTCAGGACATACCTTGCTGATGTGGGGGGAGCTGGCGCGGCCGCCCTCGGCTGGGCTGAAGGCCTTGGTGATGGCGAGCTGGATGGCCAGGCCGGTCATGGTGCCCGTGGACAGCGGCTGGATGCGGCGCACGGCCTGCAGCAGCGCCGCCTTGGAGCCGTGCGCGCGCAGCGGGAACTCCTGCTTCACGGTGCTCGCGTAGTTGACCACGCCCACCCGCGTGGCGTTGGGCCCCACGTCCAGCGCCTCGATGACCTGGGACAGGAACGCCTTCACCTTCTCAAACTCCACGGGCCGCACGCTGCGGGAGCTGTCGACCACAAACACCAGGTCGGTGGGCCGGGGCCGGCAGAGGTGCCCTGGGAGGAGGCGGGGGCAAAGTTCAGGTCAGGGGGCTGAAGCGGCAGAACATTCTCCAGGCTTCTGGGGCCTCCGGGCGGGTGGACTGTCCTGGAGCCGCTGGCCTCATTCCCCGGCCAGAGTGTGGAGACTCAGGCAGTCCTCTCAGCCCTCCGGAAGCCTCTGCACCTCCCTGAGCCTCAGTTTCCTCCTCTGATGAGCTGAGGGTCTTCCCCTCACAGGCGGCAGGAGAAGCCAAGGGCAGCACCGGGTGTGTTGGAGCCTGCAAACAAGCTTGCCTGGCGTCAGCACATGGGGATGGGGGAAGGGAGGGACACTCTCAAGGCAGCCCCACCTCAGTGCCCTGCCAGCTTGCCAACAGCCCTTTCCTCCTGGCATCAAAGCGGGTCACTGCAGTGGCTGTGGGGCCCACAGGCAGCAGGGGAGCAGTTCCTAGTGGCCATCTCCAGGCTGACCAGAGGGCTCCACACCCCCCACCCAAGGGAGCACCCTGCAGGACACGGCTTTCCGGGAAGCACTGCAGAGTCAGAGCTGGTTCCGGCCTCTTGTCACTGTGACTCTGGGGGCTGCCCTGGGGGAACTGCTGTTTTCCCTCTCTCCAGCCCCTCACCCCCCCGCAGCCTCCTCAAAATTCCTGAAGGGACCTTCGAAATCCCTTGCATCTGGTTGCCTCATTTTCCCCAAGCTGAGACTACAAATGGGGAAATTGAGGTCAGAGCGTCAATGGAAATGGCTGTACCTCAGAGCAGTGGATGGTGTATGGGAGGGGGAGAGGTGGGCCTGGGCACTGTGTGGAGGGAGTTCTGAGCGACCTCCCTCTCCAGCCTCACTTTCCCCATCCAGACAGGAGGAACGGGCATCTGAGGACCCTTGGCCCACTGTAAACTCTGCGTTAGGGGCTGGAGTTTCTAGGGAGTCCAAGTCGGTATGTGCTGGAGGGGCTGATGAGAGAGAGGGGAATCTTGAGGCTGGAGCGATAGCACAGCGGGTAGGGAATTTGCCTTGCACACGGCCAACCTGGGTTCGATTCCCAGCATCCCATATGGTACCCCAAGCTCTGCCAGGAGTAATTTCTGAGTGCAGAGCCAGGAGTAACCCCTGAGCACCGCCAGGTGTGACACAAAAACCCAAAACTAAAAGAAAAAGAGAGGACCCCAGGTCTCCACTCCTCTGTTACACATCCCCTCTCAACTCCCTCCTCCCCTCCCCCACCCCACCCCATCCCCCCAAAACACACACACACACACACACACACACACACACACACACACACTTGGTGCAGCAGCTACTGATTCTCTGCAGACTCTGCCCTTTGACCCCTGGCAGGATCCTGGCAGCCTTAGGGAACCCCCCCACCCCCCTCCTGTTCCTACCTGGGAACCCCAACCCCCTGTCTCCTGTCTGCGCCTGGGCCCTCCAACTGCTTCCAGTCTCTCTTCCCAACGCCCAGGCTCTGCCTAGCAGTGCTCGACACCCTGGTAGCCAGGGTCCCCCACCCCCTCACCTCTGGCCTGCGGCTCAAGGCCCAGTGCGTGTGGGGCCCGGAGCAGCAGCAGCAGGAGCCCGCAGAAAGGCAGGCTGGCCGGAGAGAGGGTCGCCATGTCCGGGCAGGAGGGCAGCAGCCGCGGGGTGGCACAGTGCAGGGCCCGCAGCAGCCAGATCTTATCAACCTCCTCCCGCCCAGCCCCGGGGCCAGGGCGGCCCCCCACGCACAGGGGACAGCCCACCCTGCCCACCCCCGTCCCCCAGCAGGGGCGGTGCCCGCTTGAATGGAGGTGTGTGTGCGCGGCAGAGGAAGGTGGGCACGCCCCTCCAGGCCCCAGGCCCCTCCCACCCCTGGGCCCCTGTACTGTGAAAGCAGCCAGAGCTGCCCCTGAGACCCAGGACACCTTAGCTGCCAGGGGAACCCGAGTCCAGCGGCACACCCCCCACCCAGCTCCTCTCCCACCTGCAGCACCAATGCCAGTTTCCTCCTGGCACACCTCGCCGGACTGGGCCCCCCTCCTTTCCTCGCCCGCTCTGGTCTCCAGCTGCACCTAGATTCTCGGGGTGCCGTCCAAGTCTTTGCAGACTCTGAGGCAGCTGCCAAAAATGCCCTCCCTCCCCTCTGGCACACGGATCCTTTCAAGGTCGTGACCGAAAAGCATGTACCTTGGTTCCAGTGCCATGGACGGGGCAGGCAGGAGGGACCAGTGCTCCCAGCCTCCACCGCCTCGTGGGCATGGCTTTTATACCCAGTTTTCTCACAGGAAAAAAAAAATGGGGTGAGACCGTTATGTGAAGACATTGTTTTTAAAATCTGCCCATCTGACTTTAAAAAATCATTGATTAGAACGTGGAATCTTTGTGGATATACCTTAAAATGGACTCTTCCAAATCGACACACACTGTTTCTTTGTGATCGTTTTAGCCAACATTTTTCTGGTTTGAAAAAAAAATTAACACAGTAGTAGCTATTGATGCATACACTGAAGTTAAAATATTACGCTCGAGAAAATTTACTACAGCAATGAGGTGCGGACTTAGAACATTTCATCTTCGGCACCCGCCCACCTGGCCCCTCTCATTGGCTTGTTGTCTGAGGCACGTCGCAAGCACCTCTCATAAAAGGTGTGTGTGCTTCATTGCGCAGCCACACCTTCAGCTCCCTCCAGCCCCTCCGAAATGCCTGACTTTTTCAAGTGTTTAGAGACCGTTTCCTGCAGCAGACGGCCCCAACTCTGAGTTACCCGCAGGCGTAACTGTTCCCAGGGCGGGCGCTTAATATTTCCAGCGGGCATCAGTGGTCACCAGTCCTCCCTGCAGGAACAGTGTAAGTGGTCTCTGACGGGTTTGTTTGCCCACACTGACAGCCTCGCGGTCTGCAATGTGCGAGAAGACTAATGTGCATCCCCCAACCGGGCGGTCACAGTGCGACTCTGTTTACCTTGGAGCAGCGTGGCGAGCAGATTTATTACCAGGCGATGATCATGCAACAAAAGGTTATAAACCAATTTCAGGACTGAAACACACACACACACACACACACACACACACACACACAATGCAATGATCATGCACTGAAGTGTGGGAAGAGCACGGACTAGAGACCCCCTGTGGCCTGGTTTGTGATAAATTGCCTGTGTGACCTTCAGCAAGCTCCTTGGGACCTCTCTGTACCCCCCACATTCCTCCTCTGGGAGCTGGGGGATAGGCTGTGGGGGCAGGATCCTCTCAAAGTGCCTAGCTCCCGAGGCTGATTGGTGGAGCTGTCTCATTTTATTCTCTTGACACGGCCCATGAGCCAGCTACTGGTTTCACTCCCACTTGCCAGAAGAACCAAGGAAAACAGAGAGGTGAAGTAACTTGTCTGAAGTCACACAACTATGAGGTGTCATGGCCAGGATATGGTACGGCTTCTGGTATAGCCAATTCTCTCAGCCACACTGCGGTTTGGAGGAGGTCTCATGTCCTTCTTCATGCCCATCTCTCCCCCACTTCCCTCATCTAGGCCCCCTTCCCAGTGCTCCTGGGTAGTATTGACTGTCTCACCCCTGAGGGAGTATGTGCTCGACTGACTGACCTCTGCATCCAGGCCTGGGCAGTCTCTGCAAAGAGAAGGCTAAATCAAGCACAGAAGAACATGATGCGAGTGGTGCAAAATGGTTCCTACCGAGACAAATGAAGACAGTGTTTCACAGGGCAGAGCAGGAAAAGCAGGAAGAGCCACCTGGGAGAGGTTCAAATCTGTTTCTGCTGCTGCCCCCTTGCAGCTGTGTGGCCCGAAACTGGTAACTTGACCTCTCTGAACCTCGGACAGATGTTTATGCAATGGGAGTGGCAGCTCACCGGTACCATGGAAGGAGGCAGGAAGAGGACAAAGTGGACAATCGAAGAACTATTATCTTTCTGGCGGGTGCAATTGCTAACACTTAAGGCCTATGCACTCCACTCTCTATAAATTATACCTCGACCAAAGGAGTTGTACATTTTCTAAAAAGTGATTTCTAACCATGTTTTCTGAGACAAGATTTCTGACCATAACTTACCCACAATCTTCAGCAAGAATGATGACGGCCCCCGCCTCCCCCATTCATGACACAGCCATCATTCTGACAACTCTCCCAGCAGATTTGAGTATATTGGACCATTTGTCAGAGGAGAAAACTGAGGCCAGAGGCGTTCCTAACCAGTTCAGAGGCAGAGACAGAGATACTGGGGTCAGGAACTCAGACCTCATTCCTCTTTGCCCCTGTTGCAGAGAGCACGGAAACTGAAAGCATTTCCCCTGAAAGCATTTCCCCTGAAAGCATTTCAAGGGGTGGCTTGAACACTCCATTGGGGAGCAAGGGCTTGTGGGGAGAAGATCAGGAAGTCTAGCATATATAAAAACTTTTCCCATTGAAGCTGTATTCATTATTCAGAGACCTCCCTCAACTCCAAAAGCCTGATTTCTTTTCTCTCAACCATGTGTGTATTCAATCCCCACCTCCAGAGACACTACAGGACATGGTCATGGTGGTCTTGTCACTTTCCAAAATGGTGTTATCAGGGTGTTAGCTGCCACCAGTGGAGGCCGGTGCCCCTGGACTCCCTGGACGCCCAGGGAAAAGCAAGTGAAGAAGGGCCCCATGAGGAACCAGTTCAACTCTGCATGAACCAAACAGGGTCAGATCGGGGGCTCAGTGGTGAGGGAGACCCAGCTCTGCCCCCCGGGTCCTGCAGAAGGTGGCTGAGGGGAACGTGAGCACACCCTACTGAGTCCCAACGGACATGAACAGGGGGCGCACAGCCCCCTTGGCCAAGGCGGCAGCTGGGCCCATGAAACAGGCCTTTCAGCACCGTCTCTGAATGGCAGTTCTATGGGCTGGTCCGCAGAACACAGCTGCCTTTTCTGGGTCCCTTCTCCCCTCATTAGTGGAGCCACAGAAATGTGCAGAGAGACTTTTTTCGGGAACAGAGATGGGCTCCCCAGAAGGGGCGGCTTGAACATTCCATTGGGGAGCAAGGCCTTGTGGGGAAGAGACCAGGAAGTTCAGCATATATATTGAGAATAGAAAGCAAATATTTGTGTTTCTTACACGGGAAACCTCACTGCCCTGAAATCACAATCAGGAACAGTGTGTGCGGGATGGGCCAGAGGGGGGTGGAAACACACGGACGGACAGGGCCGTTGGGGCTACCCCCAGGTCAGCCAGCCTCGTGAAGGACTCCTGCTGTTCCTTTCCTTGTTTTCACACACCTCGGGTTTCCAGCAACTTAAAGTCTTCAGTGTTTTATCCAAGAGAGAGCATTTGTGATCGAGCAAGAGGCCCAGGGCAGTGTGCAGACTCCCCGCCCGACCCCTGGCAGTCCATGGATGTTCGGTTCCTGAAGAGCAGACCAATGCTGGGCCCCAGGACAGGCTTCAAGGCCAATGACAACAAGACCCCTTAGCCCTTTGCAACAGTTTTGTGGGACATGCATCCACCTTCACTCTGCTCAAGTTCATCTTTTTTTTTTAATTTTTATTAGTGAGACACCATGAGGTACAGTTGTAGACTTACAAATTTTTGTGCTTGAGTTTCAATTATACAATGATCAAATACCCATCCCTCCACCAGTGCCCATTTCCCACCACCACGGATCCCAGTATCCCTCCCACCTCCCATTCCCCCCATCCCACCCTGCCTCTGTGGCAGGGCATTCCCTTTGTTCTCTCTCTCTTATTGGATGTTGTGGTTTGCAAGAGAGGCAATGGGTGACAATCATGTTTGGTCTATAGTCTACTTTCAGCATACCCTTCATCTTTCTTTTTCATGAACCTTTGAGTATGTTTCTGGGCTGAAGAGATAGTACATTGGGGGGAGAGGGGATGTTTACCTTGCATGAGGCTGGCCCAGGTTTGATCCCTGGCATCCCAAACGGTCTCCTGAGCACTTCCAGGAGTAATTCCTGAGTGCAGGAATAGCCAGGAGTAACCCCTGAGCATCACCAGGTGTGACCCAAAAAGAAAAAAAATTCTTCTGCTCCTCCAAGAAATAATAACTGTGAAATCACTGGTTTGGTGAACCATTTATTTATTCCAATATGCACTCCAAATGGACGCAACTTTCAATTTTAAATGAGTTAAATTAAACTTTTCATCCACGCGTCACAAAAAATTATTTTGTATTCTTCCGGGGGCATTCAGGCAGCCAGATTTGGAGGAATTCTTTGAAATGAAAGAATTTAGGAAACACGGGAGATTTCTGGTGGCTGCCAAGCCAAGAGCAATCCAGCAGGCCATAGACTCAATTGCAGTCACCAGGTCCTATCCCAATGCAGAGACCTTCCCACAGAGACGGGGACCCAGAGAAGTGTCTCTGCACCCCTGAATAGCAGGAGGCAAAAGGAGAGATGCCAGGGGGACATCTCATCAACAGCCACGATTCAGAAACTCACTGCCCTTCTCTCTCGGAAGAGAGCATAAAACGACTTGCCATAGCCATGCCGCCAGAACCCATGCCAGGCAGCTTCATTCAGGGCATCCCAGAGGGGAGCAGGTGAGGCTCTGCCCTGCCCTAAAGGACCCAGCCTCCCGGCAGCCAAAAACCTCCAGAATTCAACCTCCACCACGTTCACAGACGCTCTCCACACACTT